AGTCCTAGAAAGGCAACCAGGGTGGAGAGCTAAACCACAACAAGTTAAGAAAAGAAGAAGCAGGTTCTACAAAACTAAAAAATTTTAAACTAAACAATTCTTTTTTAGCCAACAGATTAATGCCAGTTATTTAAGAGACGATTAAATATAATAAGCGGGATTTATAGAAGGCTGATACATGAAAATATAACTGAGGCAAATTACAGACTTATACTATTTTGAGAAGAATAACAGATCTCTGCAGTGCTGGTGTTTTTGGGATGTGGAAGATGGCCTGTGATTGAGCGGACTGGAACTTTCTATTTTGGACTCTCTGAAAAATGGATTACGTATATGTTGAGCTATAAGGCAAGAGAACTATGGAATTGGGGCATGCAGATGATCTGGCTGTTATCCTAACGTGGTTGTTGGAATTAATAATCTAGACAAAAGACATTACAGAAGATACCATATGGAATATAAATATAAAGTCACTCGGGGTTTTTTTTTTATATACAGAAATACTTATTAATGATGGGGGCAGATGGTAATTGAAGATACTGAATACACTGTTGGAAGCAGGACTTGATGTTACCCTAACATGGTCGATGGAATTAATAATCTAGTTGAAAAACATTACAGAAGATACTATATGGAATACAAATTTAAAGTCATTTGAGGGTTTTATGGAAATATCTTTTAGTGATATGGGCAGAAGAATAAAGATATTAAATATATTATGTATGGTAGACCTGTAGGAAAGTGGGTGATATAAAATTGATATGGTACAAGGGGATAGGTTAGATTACTGATTGCTTAGTTTAGGAAAAGGGATGTTATGTTTAGATATTAATATATTTAAAAGAAATATAAGTATCCATGTGGAGGAAATGGGTAGATTATGAGTAGAATAAATGCCAAATTAGGATCTATTATATAGTTTTTAGCTGAATGCTGTTAAATGTATAGTATACAGGGGATATAATAATAATTTAGGAAGAAATGTATAGCACATAGGGGGTGGTGTATAAGGGTGGTAAAGTATTATATAATGTGATATTAATTTGGATTTCATCTTGGAGAAGCCATGGGGGGAGGGAAGGGGGAAGGGGGGTTGGGGGGGAAAAGGGGGGGAAATTTGTATTTGAAAAACTTTTTCAATAATAAAAAAAAAAGAAGCAGGGACAATTCTACCGAAAACTACATGAACAGCTAGGAAAATGGGCACATAGTGAAATATGTATGTTAGGCGACTTCAACGGTATTGTAGACCCAGACAGAGATTATAAAAGTGGAAAAATTAAAAAAAAAATAAAAGGACACCCTTGCCAAAAAGCTTCTTTGATTTGGTGGATGAATTAAACCTAATTGATATGTGGCGAACATTGCATCCTTCTGATAGACAATATACCTTTTATTTGAACCCACAAAATTCCTGGTCTAGAATAGATATGGTATGGGCCACCAGGAAATTAGGACTGGAAATTAAGAAGGTTGATATGAGCACAAACGCTTGGGCAGATCACAAGCTCCTCGAAATAAATTGGCATTATATGAATAAGAGAAAACAACAGAGATGGAGATTAAAGACAGATCTATTGAATGAAAAAGAGTTTATATTTAAATTGAATGAAGAAGTAAAGCGCTTTTTTATAGAAAATGGAAATCAAGATACGGTGAGAGAAATTGTTTGGGATACTATGAAGGCTTATGTGAGAGGAGTTGCTATATCGTATATGGCATTTAAAAAAAAAAAAAAAGAAGGCTAGGGAGGCCCACAACGAAAGGTTAGAAGAAGCGGAAAATAAACTACAGCAAAACCTGGGAGACGAGGTGGCTAAACAAAAGTGGATGATGGCGAGGCATAGGCTGAATATTTTGGACCAGGAGGAGATAGCGGAAAAAATAAAAAGAACAAAGCATTACTACTTTGAGAATGCTAATAAGTCCGGAAGGTGGCTTGCATATAAATTAAAAAAAGAAAATGAAAAAAGTCAAATTCTTGTTTTAGAAGATCCTAAAGGTAACCTCCTGACGAAAGAAGAGGATAAATTAGAAAGGACAAGAGAATTTTACGAAGCCCTATATAAAGATGAAGAGATTGAGCCAGATAAGGTGGAACAATATTTGATGGAAGCTACCTCACATAACAGATGAAGAAAGGGAAATGTTGAATAACAAAATTACAATAGAGGAACTCAAAATTGCTCTTACCAAAATTAAAAAGAATAAAACCCCAGGTCCAGACGGACTTCCAGGGGAAATTTATATAAAATTTGACGAAGCATTGCAATTAGAACTATTAGGAATCTTTAATGAGGTCTTGGTTGGTACAAGAATCCCGGACACATGGAGGGAAATGTATCTCACACTCATATTGAAAGAAGGTGTTGATCCGAAACAAATTGCAAATTATAGACCCATCTCCTTACTAAATTCAGATTATAAACTGTTTATGAGTATAATAGCGGAGAGGGTGAAAAAAATTCTAAATTTTTGGATCCACAAAGACCAGAACAGATTCCTTCCAGGGAGACAAATTAGGGACAATCTGAGAACAGTAATAAACGTTATTGAGTATTACGAGCAACATCCCGAAAAGCAGTTGGCGCTAGTGTTTGTGGACGTCCAAAAGGTGTTCGATAACCTGAATTGGAGCTTTATGGCTAATCAAATTAATTTAATGGGATTTGGGGCCAATTTTAGGAAAATGATTGAGAATATTTATCAAGAACAGAGGGCGAATATACTCATAAATGGGGACAAGACCCGAATATTCCAGATTCGAAAGGGAGTAAGGCAGGGATGCCCCCTATCCCCTTTACTTTTTATCTTGGCATTAGAGGTGCTACTTAGGAAGATTAGATCTAATAAAGAAATCAAAGGATTAAAGATTAGGAAAGAAATTTTCAAAACGCAAGCCTTTGCAGATGATGTGGCTCTAATAATAGAAGACCCATTAGAAACTGGCCCAAAATTACTACAGGAAATACAGAAGTATGGAGAAGTTGCCAGCTTTAAACTTAATAAAACAAAAACCAAAATAATAGTGAAAAATGTAACAGAAGCATACAAGAAAGAGTTGGAAGAATCGTTAGGTCTCCAGGTAGTAAAGAAAACAAAATACTTAGGAATATGGATAACTTCGAGGTATTCATCATTAAAAGAAGATAATTATACCCCACTATTACAGAAAATACACCAGGATCTAGATAGATGGAAAAAGCTAAAATTGTCTTTTATGGGCAAAATAGCAGCAATCAAGATGAATATCCTCCCAAAAATTTTATTTTTATACCAAAATATACCGGTGAGTTTAGACAAAAAATTCTTTTTAGATTTGAACAAAAGTATTAGAAATTTTCTATGGGAGGGAAAGAAGGCGAGGATCTCATATTCGATACTGCAAGGGAAAAGAAATATGGGCGGCTTTGGACTCCCTGATTGGGAAGCATACCAAAAGGCAGCTAAATTAGTTTGGATTAAGGAGTGTGTCACATTGCAAAATAGGAGAATCCTGACCTTAGAAGGTCACGATTTACAAGAAGGATGGCATGCTCATCTGTGGGACCCAAGAAATAAGAAAAAATCCTATTTCCACAAACATAAAGTAAGGGAGACTCTTATACAAACGTGGGAGGAAATTAGGCAGCGGTTCTACATTAAAGTACCAAATTGGCTTTCTATTATGGAGGCCCTGACCTCTCCGAATAGAAGAGATATTTTTAAATTTGGCACATACAAGGATATTTTAGATGAAAACGGGAATCTTAAATCCCTGGACACACTGAGAGACCAAGGCTTTAACCTAGATTGGTGGAACTATTTACAGATAAATTCAAGGTACCAGAAGGATAGGGATCAATATGGCATAGAAGCAAAGTATAGAAATTTAGACAAAATTATGCTGGGGGTGGAAAAGAAAATGTTGACAAAAATATATAATCTTCTGTTAGACGAGGACAGGGCAGAGGATATAGCCAGAAACCAGTTAAACATTTGGGAAAAAAACATTGGATATAGATTAAATTTTAATGATTGGGAAGAGGCCTGGAACAGGAATTATAAAATGACTAAAGCAGCAACATATAGGGAAAATCATTATAAGATGCTTCACAGGTGGCACCTAGCGCCACCCAGATTAGCAAAAATGTTTCCTAACGCTTCAGCAATTTGTTGGAAGTGTGGTAAGGATGTCGGCACCTTCTATCATATGTGGTGGACCTGCCAAAAGGCAAAAAGGTATTGGTCTAGGATTCGAAATTGGCTACGGGAAATAATTGAAGAGGAATTAGATTTATCCCCTGAAATATTTCTTTTGGGAATAATCAGGGATGGGTTTACCAAAGATAAAATCCAATTTATAATTCATATTACAACAGCGGCCAGACTAGTTTATGCGAAATTTTGGAAAGATAAAACTATACCACCAGAGGAAATATTAATAAACAAAATTTTAGAGTGCGCAGAAATGTCAAAATTAACAAATGAGCTAAATAACGATGCGAAATCAAGACACAAGATAGTATGGGAAAAGTGGTACGAATGGTTAAACAACAGGATAAAATCATGATTTCAGGGTATGTCTATTTCTTGCAATCTAAGTTTGAAGTATACCTGATGTATATTTTGTAAATATGTACAAACACTGCACCTCTGATTTTAGTAGAGATTTGATGCTTTTTGTAATTATAAAATTAATAAAGTATATATATATATATAAAATAAATTGGTCTAAGTTTAGTCACTGGATCCCTTTTTTCTTTTAATTTTTTTAAAAATTATTAAAATCTGGTGACTTAAAAAATAAAAAAAAATGTAATTTTATTTAGTTTAATTGAATTCAATTTTGAAAACAGTAGAAACATCATCTTGTGGGAATAATTTCTTTCAACCCATTCCCTGTAGCTCTGAGGTAAGTATATTAGTATAGCCAATGTATTTTGCCTTCATGATTTAAGTTTAATTACCATACATCAGAACCAGATTAAACAATTCCTAATTGCTATTCTTTGTTTCAGAAACTTCTATGCTTGAATCTTGACAGGAGTCAGATGTGACTTTTTCAAGGATGAAAAAGTAAAAGTACCTCTGCAGACTCTCTTCAGTCCAATTCATGCATTATCTCCTTTTATCAATTTTGCTGAATTGTAATTGGTTTTATTTTGCTTTTCAACTATTATTTTTTATGTGTATCAAATTCTAATTTACTGTGGAATTTTAAATAGTTGTGGACTGCTTTATTTATTTCATGAGCTCTTTTGTGTACTTCTATGGAAACAACCTATGGAAGCAATCAAGAGACAGTAAAAAATGGACAAAAGAAAGAATAAACTCAGAATTGGTGGCTCCTTCAAAACCATTGAATCAGCCTAAAACTGCTGAATATTTAGCAACAAAGAGCAAAACAAAACAAAACAAAGAGTGAGTACAGTAGGTAATAAAGTAAAACCAAGAAGATGATGTTTTTATTGGCTGTGTTGTTCTGGAATGGGACTTAAAAACTGAAACTGAGCACCAGCAACTGCTTGATCTTTCTTCCTCTCTGGGAAGAATTATTACCAACTCAATGATTTAACAGCAGAGCCTCAGTCTGAGGCCGACACACCCCTTGCCACCCTCTTCATCTTTTTCTAAAGCAGATCAACTTGAATATTTAAGAAATGAATAAGTCTCATAACAAGACAATGCCTTCTAACTGCACAGACGGTCATTTCTATTTTTGAGCTATTGTCAACAATAAATAAATAATAACGTGGATACTTTGGGGGGGAAATTTATTTTATTTTTTATTTTATTTCAAATTTATATACCGCACCTTCTCCCAAGGGACTCAGGGCGGTGTACAGCCAGATAAAAACATAGAATACAAACATTAAGAACAATTAAAAAATCTTTGAAAGAGCTAATCAAAATCATTCAAACAAATCAAAATTGAACATGGGAAGGATCCAGGAGACAGAAGTCTTCTGATGTTAAGAATTGCACATGACAATACCCTGCCTGTTTCTTGGTTTTGATAAAACTTTACAAAAGCCATAATTCTTACCATAATTTTTTTCTGCCTATTTTTAATAGTCCTGAACAGTTGCTCACTCTTTTGCACCAATTTGTATATGAGGCTTTGAAGACTAAATTCTTTTAAATACACTTTTTTCATATTTAATGCCTCCTTCAAATATGTTTGCACTAATATTCATAAAGGTGTGACTTTTTCAAGAATTATAAAGTGTGCCAGAAATGAAATATTTGTATTATTTTTTTACTGAAGCTCATATGGTTTTTCAGATATATATTTATATATATATATATATATAAAATTTTATAAACACTGCACTGGTTAGCACTGATAGCTTTGGAATTTAAAATGTTTGTAAAGCTGGTTCCTAGTTCTCATAATTATGGGAAAAATCTCAAATCTAGTTTTCTGCTGCTGAGGTGCCATGATGAATTGGGCAGCAGTTACCCTTTTCCTCCACTGTGTTGCTATAGTGTTAGGGAACAGGATGCCCATGCTCATGGATGCCAATTGCCAATTTGACATGGCAGTTGCTGATACTATCTTTACTATCTTTATCCTCCACCAGTTTAAATGATCACTCAACGTTTGACTACTGTATTGTTTAATAATTCAGTAGAAAATGTTTTATTTCTTCACTTATTGTATAGCTATTGCAATAATTAACTCTGAGTCTGAAGTCAAAATGACAAGAGAAAATGGGAAACATCCATTGTTCTGAAGGGGAACAGGTTTTTGCATCTGTGATATGAAAGAACAGCCCAAAATTGGAGCTATTTCAAAGAAGAGAAAGATGAGATTAGATCTTTAAAATCACTTTCAACAATATGATTCCATAAGATAAAAGACATGGCATAAGAACGGGAAATATAGCCAAATCTCATTATATGGCATCATACCTCTCCATAGCTTTGTGCAGAAAACAATACAGTTAAAAGAAAAGAAAGGGATAAAAAATAATTAAAGAAATGACTTTCAAATTTTATTACAGCAACTAAAATTAAAATTGCACTTTAGGTTTTTATTCAGGAATGCTGGTGCTTGGATAGTAATAAATTCACAGAAATTCTATAAATCTCCCTTCCACCCCCTTAACTCTGGGAGTATGAGTGATAGAAAGAGTAAAGGAACAAACAAGTGTGTTTCTGCATACATGCATAGATGCAAACAAAAACATAGCAGATATCAGAGATATCAAACCTGTTATAGATTTCTTCCAGAAATGATCTCTTCCTTTTGAGTAGAAGGAAATTGGTGATTGCTCTGGGCAAACTGAGCACTCATTTTTTATCTGCACTAATGGAAAGAAAATGGTGCAATGATTCCTAAATGTCGTATTTCTTTTCAAAGAAGTTACACAAGCAGGACAGTAAAATGTTAATTCTGACTGTACTGTAAATTGGGGTTTGTTTCTACTAAATTGAAATAAATGTAAAAGTAAATACTGGTATAAATAAATGTAAAAGCAACAATAAAAACACAATGGATGTCCATTTCACTGTCAATATACCTGAGACTGAGGTCTTGTTGTTGGAGGCAAATAATGAAGTTATCATGTAAATGCCACAATTTAGGTAGTATCAGATGTTGGTCATTTGGTGGCATTATTACAGTTGACGCCTTTCCATGTTGCGAAATACTTCTTTCGTAGTTACTTACTCCAGTCACACATTTCTGACTATATCCTTGAAGTTGCATCTTCAGAATGTAACTACCAGAGTATTATTTTATGTAACCTGCTAGAAATAAAAGTATAGCCACAGCTGGCTGATTTTGTAGAAGAAAAAAATCATGGAAAAAATCATGTTTTTTCTGCTACTGGCAAAGTGATACAACCTCTTAACTTAAGAACAAACCTCTTCAAATATTGTAGAAATGCCTGTGCTATCTCACTCTAGCATGGTGCCAGCTCTTTTTGTGTCTGGTAGTATATGAGTCCCTATTTTTTTCAATTCTTAGAATGTGGAACTGTTTGATTGTATCTTGTCTGATGTATGAAATCTCAATTTCTTTGTTCGGATTCAGTGAGTTAGTTGAGATTGGGCTGGAATGCTGGTTGTTGAGAAGGGCACTTGAAAACTGCTCACCAATTTTGCTCATAAAATAGGGTAATGTCAGTCCTTTGAGATACAAACAAGAAAGCACAAGTACTATCTTTATTGTAAGATTGCAGCTACAACCTCCTGCAAGTCTGAAAGCACTTGTCCCCTCTATTGCCTTTACTTTCCAAAGAACTAGAGAGAGTCCCTTCTAAGGCACTCCTATTCCTTTTGTGGGGGTGCAATGGCTCAGCAATTAAAAAAGCTGAGCTTGTCAGCTGGAAAGCTGGCAACCCATGTTTGAGACCTGAACACCACACAACAGGGTCAGCTTCCATTCCTGCTCCAGCTCCTGCCCACCCAGCACTTAAAAGTATGCAAATGTGAGTAGATCAATAGGTACCAATTTAGAGGGAAGGTAACAGCATTCCATGCACCTTTGGTATATTGTCATGACAGCCACATGACCACAGAAAGTATCTTTGGACAATGTTGGCTTCTTCGGCCAAGAAAAGGAGATGAGCACCACGTCCTAGAGTCAGACATGACTGGATAGGGAAACCTTTACCTTATCCTTCTGTGGGCTGAGATATGTTTTATCTGATAATTGTCCAGAGTGTGATTCTTACTCCATTCTCCAAAGGCAGTGGTGGGATTCAAGCAGTTCACGGCGGAACTGGTTGTTAAATTGCTGGCTGGCTCCGCCCCGCCCCTTCCAGAAGTCCCCCTGCGGCCTGTTTTTGCTCCCAGGAGGCTGCAGGGAGGCCTACTGGGCCGTGGGGTGGGGCGGTGTCACCCCCCCCCCCGCAGCCTGTTTTTGTTCCCAAGGGGTGCAGGAGCCCAAGTGCTGCCTGTCACACCCCTGACCATGCCCACTCAGCTGGTCATTAGGGCAGAGAACTGGTTGTTAAATTATTTGAATCACACCATTGTCCAAAGGTTATTCTCACAGCCCACTGCAGGGAACAAGCAGGGGTTAGAGGGTCAACTGCATCCTTTATGGTCAGGAAAATTGTCTTAAATTATTTTTGCACTGAATTGAAAAAAATAAACCTCCACAGTTAGCTGAAAGGCAGTTTGTAGACTTGTTCCCATAGAAACTACATGTCTGGTTCTTAGAATAAAATTGAAAGGAAACAGGCAGAGGGAGATAACTGACTTAGAAGGGACAGGCCCAAGAAATAATCTTACACCATCAGCCTAGCAAGAGGGAGAGCACATTTTTCCTGCTTGTTTCTACCAATATTTTAGGATCAAGATATGAGCATGTGTGACACTGAACTGTTACCACTTTGTAAAGTTGAGTGCCTCTCTCTATATGATAGCTTGAACTCTAGACTGATAACATACTGACAATCCTTGACTTCTAGTTCTTAGCACATAAAAGAATAGGGTAAGATAGGCTTGGCATAGATTATCCATCTGACAATCAGCCCTCTCAAAATACTATGCTGTTTGCTTATGTGGTCATAGTCTCAAAATATATTGAAGAGTATTGGTTCATTCTTAATACCACAGGACAGGTGTCCCTAAAATATGCTACAGTTGGGAATCTCTTCATTTAGGCCTGTGCCTCACCTGTATATATCTCCATTAAGAATTACTAAAAATCCATGTTCTGTAATTACAAACTGCCAATTATGCGTGCCTGTGGGCATTCCATTCCAAAAAAGCTAAAGTTAAAAATAGCTGCTGTATGTTGTTTCATGGGTGGCTAACATTCTATCTATCCTGACATCACTCTGCTATTTATGGCCTCATTGTTTTGTAGATCCTGGGGCCATTAAGTGCATGCCTATATACATGTAAATATTGATGAAATGAATAAAACCTCAACTGCCTTACTTTTGTGTACTTCCGTTTTTTTAAAGTGCTCAGTTTTTGATCTTCCAATCTTCCTACTAGAAGGAATATGTTGGATGTTGCCAAGTCCATTGCACGGCATAATAAGTATCTTGCAGAGATCTATTCTGCTCCTACCAGAAACCTTTCCTGTAGTCTTCTTAATTAGATAAAACACTTGTTTCCCTCTCTACTGTCCTAAAGTAACATGGCTGCATCATGTTATTTTGTGTGTTCAATATCCCATTTTTCTTCAAAAATCAACTTATACAGCCCTCCAATGTCTTCTTTTCAGCAACAGTCCTGTGAAGAAGGTTGGGATGAGGGAGAGTGATTGGAGCAAAGTTACCAAGGAAGTTTTCACAGCTGTGGGTGGATCTTAACCAGGATCTCCCTAGTTTTATTGGAAAACAATTTCATGATATTACAGTATATAGCAGTGATGGCTAACCTTTTCTGGACCGAGTGCCCAATGTGTGCACGCCTGAACCTTCAAAATGCAATGCAAGTGTGGCCCCCACACATGCACCCTGCACCCTCCGCATGTATGCATGGCCCCCCCCACATGCGCCCCATGCATGCATCCTACACCCACACACATGCGTGGCAGAGACCGGAAGACCAGCTGGCCGGCAGGAGGTTGAGCTAAGATGGGGCAATGGCTCATGTGCACACAGAGAGGATGCTGCGTGCCTCCTCTGGCACACGTGCCATAGGTTCTGTTAAGGAATTTGCAGAACAACCCTAGAGTAGCAAGGGTGTGCACATGAAAGCAATTGAGAGCAGTTGCAAATAATCACAGCCAACACATAGATACACTGAGTTGTGTTTACTTTTAGGAAATAGCAATAAGGCACAGTCCAATAAACAGTCCAGGTCATACACAGATAAAGCAGTAGATAGTAAAACAATAGTCCAAGGATATTCCAATAACAAAATCTTCTTACTAGTCATCGTAGTCATACACAATAACATAAACAGTTGCAAACAGTAGCAAACCCAGCACAGAGCAGTAAAGAGCAGTAACGATCAACAAGGAGTATCAAAGAGAAACAAACCCTGTTTCAAGCTCCCTCTTAAGGACATTGGCTACAGAGCAAGCCAATCAGGACACAGTATGATGCAATACAGCAATACAGTCTTAAAGCTAATGCTGGTTTATATATTGCCAACCCAACAAGTTAGGTAATTATCATTTCCTAACAGATTCGCCATCACGGGTATATAGTATATTGATGACACAGGAATACTGCATCACCTACACACTTGCAGGATAGTAAACTGTATAGAACATCTTTATTTTCAGAATTCCAACTCTGAAGTTATAACTGACAGTGACTCAGATTTTTCAGTTCAGACATCATGTGGATCCTTATGCCTTAGCATCTAGCTACCACATTTCTACCAACTGCAATTTCAAGAAATAATTTAAGGGCGATCAATATTCTTTTTACTGGTTTTACTTTATTTCTTCTTATATGATTACATGGATTAATTTGTCAAAAAATGATAAATAATGATGATAGTAATATGTTCTGAATTTTATAGAGCTTTTATTTTTTTTTAAATGATGCAATGAGCCTACTTCTATATAATAATTCAATCAAGTAAGGAAATAATAAAATTAAAATTTCATGAAAACTATAAACTTTCTATTTATTTACTAATATGTTGTTCTTTTATCCACAATATTTCCTTCAAATTTTCAATAAATAAAAACACTCCCATTGTCTTTACATATAAAGGAAATGATGGCTTTGGAGCATACATATGAACTTGGTCATGCTCACCCTGGCCACATCCACTCTGGCAATACCCTCCAGCCCCCCCTAAAATCAACCACAACCCTGATGTGGTCCTCAATGAAATAGAGTTTGACACCCCTGATATATAGGGTCATTCTTTCAGAAGCTGTTTTTCCCTATTGTGTTTTATTTGGTGTAGTCTTCTTGTTTAGGTTGGGATTTCTTGCTTCGTTCATTGAATTTCAGAGTAGCTAGAATTGCCTCTAGATTCTTTACTTTTTCTTCTAGTAATTCAGTTTACATTTGATACATACATAGTTTGGATCTTCTGTAGGCATAAGCTGAAAAATATAACACACTTTGCAAGTCACTATACTGTCAATCTCTATTTCCATGACTTTTTTTTGTTGTTTATGCCAAGAGTGATTCACTCTTTTACCTAGTTACTTCTTTGGACTCAGCTTGACAACAATCGGGAGTCGGATGGTTGGAATGTCTGGGGTGGGAATGGAATGCCAAGAGTCTGTCTGCAGATCGTGAGACCCTGCTGTCACCTCAAGATCACACCGTGCAGGTATTTGAATGATGTGGGCTGTTCTCATAACAAAAAAATAGATTTAATTGGTTAACACAATGAATTGAGGGGGTTGGCGAAAAGGGAAATGCAAGTTCAACTATGTGAGCTTTCACATGGGAAACTCAGAGTTGGTTTCACTTCTTCTGTGCCAATGTGGTGTATTCAAATAAAGTTTTACTTTTTGTGACAAATGAAGCAATACAAAGACACATTGAAAGCCTCCTTCAAGTCCCTGCATATCAACACCACTTCCTGGGAAACCCTGGCACAAGATCAACATGGTGCACGCTGATCCACCAAAGCTGCCATACATCTGAGGATGGAAGAACAACCATAGCACGAGAGAAGCGAGCACTCCCCAAAGCCAGAGCTGCAAATGCTGCAACAAAGGTGCCCATACATGTCTGCCCGACATGTAGCATGAACATTTCGTGCCTGTATAGACCTCACCAGCCACCTGCAGACACATCGTGAATAGCCCAAAACCTGTTAGATGTTAAGGTCCTCTTTGAATACGATGGACAAACATCATCACTTAGTGGGAAGAACAATGTTCCAGGAATTATCTTTTTGGATTCACTTGTTGGGCAGCTGACATTAAACCAGCTCTCTGCCTATCTACTGCAGCCTACCTGGATCCCTCCAGGAGACTGTGATATTGAGCTGTCAGCAGCCGACAAGAAGATGGAAGGGGGGCAAAACAGGGAGAAGCGCGCTCTAAACAGGGGACTGAGAAGCTGGAGCAGCAATCCATGTGCGGAGGACAGCAGCATCAGGAGCCCCTTGCCCTGGAAAAATACTGCTGGGCAGTGGGCAAGCAGTATGGGGAAGGCAGCAGAGGTAGAATACCCACTGGTTCCTCCCAGAGTTATGGTGATACTAGTGAACCCAAAATAAGGAAACTCTTGGGAGCTTTGAATTCTCAAAAGTAAAACATTATTGGATACATCATTTTGATACTAAAGAATCAAAACCAACTCTGGTTTTCCCATGCAAATGTTTGCTTAGTTAAATAATAACTCCCCTTTCTCCCCACCCCTGGGTGATCACATGTCCAATTATGATACATCATTTTGTTATGGGAACAGTCCATCTCTTTCTCAAGCACCTGCAGTGGTGGTTGTCAAGCTCTCACAGTCCATGCGCACATTATCAGCATTCTATTTCCCCCTTCCCTCCCCCCCAGTTCATTGGCAAGCTGAAAAGCATTAAAGTTTGAAAGAAGCAAAGTGGTTCAATCTTGACATGATGACTCCCTGAATGAAAAGGACACCTGGAAAATATTAAGCATAGATTAATTCCATTATCTACCCTGTTTCCCCGAAATTAAGACATTCTCTGATAATAAGCCCAATCGGGCTTTTAAAGCGCATGCGCTAAAATAAGCCTCCCCCCGAAAATAAGGCCTCCCTGAAAATATTTAAATGCAGAGCTGGAAATCAGGTAAGATGGCAAGAGGAGCCCCATCTTGCTCCATGTGCCCCAAAATAATAAGACCTCCCTGAAAATAAGGCCAAGCACTTATTTTTGGGTTCAAAAAATATAAAACAGGGTCTTATTTTTGGGGAAACACGATAGGTTGTCTTCACCTTCTATAATCTCCTCGGTCATTGAGGGATTTTGCATGGCACTTTCTTACTAACTTGTCAGTGCTAGCATTGTGGGCCCCCACTCACTCAACATCAGCTGTGGGATATCCTTTCCACTGCACTAAGTATTGTAATATATCCCCTTAAAATATCTTGAATCCAGTATCTCCTTGATCTCATAGTGTTCCTCCCTTCCCCCAACACTACAAAGGGAGGCTTCCCTTCGACTGGTCTTAACTTAGAGCCTCGTTGGAAGGGTTTCAATAAGCCACAGTGGAACACCCAGTTGACTCTCCTGAGTACCTTTGGTAACCATAATTTGGGAATGGACCTATGTACTTGGGACCCAGTCTCTTACAATTTTGGTTCATCTTCAGGTACTTAGTAGTAGACAGGTATACTTTCTTCCAAATCATGAACTACTTCTGGTCAACTGTCTTCCAATCTGCCTGTTTCTTTTGTGACTCCCTGGCTTTATTCAGATGTGCTTTCTGGACATTTCCCCCGGCAGTTTTTAAAGTGTCCATCCATTCAGCTAACAATACTGAGGAAGGGGGTTTCCTCAGAACCCCTCCCATGGTTTCTTTAAAGGGTGTGAACCAGGGGTGCTATTCAGCAGGTTCTGATAGGTTCTGAAGAACTGGTAGCGGAAATTTTGAGTAGTTTGGAGAACCGGCAAATGCCATCTCTGGCTGGCCCCAGAGTGGGATGAGAATGGAGATTTTGCAGTATCCTTCTCCTGCCATGCCCACTAAGCCATGCCCACCAAGCCACACCACACCCACCAAGCTACGACCACGGAACCAGTAGTAAAAAAATTTGAATTCTACCACTGGTGTGAACCCAGTGCTACTATGCACTGAGTTACGTATTATAAGCTACTTCTGTGAAAGGTAGGAGCTCCATCCAGTGGGTTTGCTGATAGTTTACATAACAATATAGGTATTGCTCCACTATTGCATTAGCTCATTCTGCCACCCCATTAGTACTTACATGGAACCTCAAACTAAGTCCCAGGGTTGAATCTATTTGTTTAGGAACACCTGTCAAAACTTTGCTGTAAAATGCACACACACCCCAGTCTGAAATGA